GGGGGGGGGTTCTCGTGGCCAAGAGGTTCTCCTTCAAAGGTCCCGAGTTCGAATCCGGGTAGAGACCGAAAACATTTCTTCTCTAAAATTGTCTCCTTTCACCTTCTTTCATTCTCTGTAGCAATGTTCTGTCGTCTACTTTCGCCTTCACTTTCTGCCCCACCCCCTCATCTCCTTTGCCCTCTCATCTGGGCTCCTGACTCTTTCTGCAGCCTTTCTACTGCTGCTCACTGTCTTTCAGTCACACCCCTGATCTTCTGGTAGGAAGTGAAGGGGCAATTAATCTATGCAGGAAGAAAGAAAGATGAAATAAAAAATTCTAAAGGACTAAGGAAAGAAAGGAGGAAGAACAGGAAGAAAGAAAGAGTTAAGAAAGGAAGGAAGGAAGGAAAGATGAAATAAAACAATCCAGAAATCAAAAGAAAATCAAACACATTCAATTATGAAACTGAAAAGTAGCACAAACAACTTTATTGCATGTATTCATACAAATTTAAACAGTAAACACAACTCTTTTCGTAAGCTTCTTCATCTCATGTGACCTGCTGGGCGGTACACTTGGTCCCGCCGTCAAGACAGCAAATGGTGACGCAACCAGGCCGTGGTCTCACCTCACAGCAAGCAGACACACATGTTTAGAAGGGAGATTTTCCACTCATGGAACCAGTAACGCCCCCGGAGAAACAGTGCCTGCCCCCATCCACGGACAGGACAGTGCCGCTCACGAAACTGGCAGCGTCAGAAGCGAGGAAGGCCACACCCTCGGCTATCTCGTTTGGCTCACCATTTCTCTGCAGGGCGTGTAGCTTGCCCTGCACTTCAGCTATCTGAAAGGGAGGTTCGTAAATTGGACGAGAGATTCAGTTTTACGCCCCCATGAGCACAATATAGGCAATTTTGAAGGTGGGAGCCACGACCCTACCCAGGGGTCAAACACAGGCGGTCGGGTATACCCAAGCAGAAAGACCGAAGTAAGCGATAGAAATACATGGAGAATTATTGTCTAGGAGAGGGAATTTCACTTAAGTCCTTTGTGTGTTGGGCGAAAAGCCTAACCGCTGCACCATAGCCGCCGGTCTATAGTGGAGGTGACTTTTCCTAGCCTCATTTAACCTCTCCTCACCCCCCACATCACATACACACACAAACACAAACACACACACTCACACACACATACACACGCATTTACATACATGCAGACATTCTTTCACACACATACATGTTCTTACGCATACAATTACACATACACACATACACACACATACATGCACACACACAAACACACACACACACACACACACACACACACACATACACACACA